TATTCAAATAGCTAGAAGATGAATTTTAAATGTTCCCAAGACGAATGTTTGAGGTGATGGATATGCTAATTATTATAATTTAATCACAATACATTGCATGTATCAAAACTTACTGTAAACCCAATAAATATGTGCAATTATCATGTGTCTATAAAAATTGTTTAAAATATATGGATATATATGCATATATATCATTTTATAATAGAGTGTTTATTTTATGGAATACATATGGGATATTCACAGAAACTTTCCAAAAAAGTGACAATTCACATTTCCACCATCTATTATATTTTCTTGTGTTCTCCCCCAAAATAGGTTCTAGTGGGTAAACATGTGATACTTCATTGTGACCTAGATACAAATTTCTTCCTTACTAGTGGACTTCAATATGTATTTTGGCTATTCCAATTAGTTCCTCTGTGAATTTCTTCTTTATATCCTTTTCTATTTTTCTACTGTGTTTCTTTCAGTAATTTTAAAGACTATATGATATAGTATAGATATTCAACTTCTTTGTATTCTGCAACTTAATTATTGATTTTTATTTATAGCATTTTATGTTAAACAAAAATTTTAAATTCTGATATTGTCATATAAAGTTTATCTTTTCTCATAAAGTTTCTAACTTTCTAGAACTAAGAAGCTGTTTCTTGCCCATACATCTTCTTTTCTAGATTTTTACACATAAATTTTATTGATTCATTGTTACATTTAAGTGTTAAATATCTGGAAATTATTTTTCTAAATGTATAATACAGGGATATAGTCTATTTCCTTATAAATGGGTGGTCAGTTGTGCCAGTAGAATTATTAAAGAGCATGTTTTTCTTAATTAAAATATTATGTTTTATAAGTTGTTATACAATTGTCTTAAATGTTTACATACACTAGGAAACACTTCTGGATTCTTGATCTACTTGTCTTTTTCTATGCCAGCACAACAATGATTTGATCATAATGGTTTATAGCTAGTATCTTCTAATATTTGGAAATCAGACATTCTTTACCATTCTTCTTTTTCATAGCTTTTTATTTCCTCATTATCATACCAAAAATTGGAATTCTAACTGAAATTACATAATATAAGATTATATACTAAATTTGGGAGAAGTGCTACTTTTATGATGCCATTTGTCCCATTTAACTTTGAGGTCTTCCTGTTTGTTCATATTTTCTTTATCTAGATTCTATGCCTTCCCTATGAATAATTCTGTGTCATTGTTTTTGTCATTATTGTAAATGGAGTTCTTTTCCCAATCTCTTTTCTAAGTACTTGTTAGGATAGATAGAAACTATTGGTCTTTATACATTTAACTGGAATATGGTCATTACACTTAATTATGTTATTAATTTTGGGGTAATTTTAATACATTATCCTTAATTATTTAGGTATTCTGTCACATCATTGGATACCAAAATAGCACAGGAAATTTTATTTTAATTGAAATAGTTTTAGAGCTTTAGTGGTTAGGATAATATTTGCTGGTTTTAATTTTTGTAAGTATTTCTATTATATTTAAATAGTATTCTTCAATTTCCATTAAATGTAGAATTCTCTTTAGGGATAACTCTTTAATTTTATCAAATGCCTTTTCCACATCTACTGATATGAACATATATTGTTCTCTTGGATAATTTGTTACTGTAGAAGAGTAAGTTAGTGGTTTTCTGAAACTAAATCATCCATACAATTATAGAATATATTTATTTGACCTTAATGTATTATCCTTTGAAAGTATTGCTAGATTCTGTTTGCTATTATTTCATTTGATTTTTGGATATATATTTATGATAGAGATTGTATTATGCTTTTTGGTAGGACCTTAATCACGTTTTGGTATTAAAGTATATACGTTTATGAAATGAAATGTAATGAAGCTATCTTTATCTATGTGAAATATTTTAAATAACATTGGAATTATTTTTTTTAAGGTTTTATAAGACTTGGCTGTAATTTTCATCTGCTATTCATGCTCATATTTTTAAATAAAAATTTTATTTCAGCATATTTTTACATTTTCAGAAAAATTTTGAAGTACCAAGAGATAACCTGTCAATATCCCACACTGAGTTTCTATTTTAACATTTTATATTAATATGGTGTATTTGATTTAATTAGTAAAGCAATTTTGGTACATTATTATTAACTACTTCCATACTTCATTTAATTTTTTTTTGGTTTTTACCTAATATCTTTCTGTTGTTCACTGCAGTTAACATATTTGATAAAGAATCAGTTTGATTTCCTGAATCTTGTTCTTCTTCAAACTTCATTTTAAGGCTTATTCTGTTGTGAGCCACCAGGGAGAAATAGAAAGAATCCAAAATTTGAAGTCAAATAATCTTAATTCAATAGTTTTCATCTCTTACCAACACTGAAAATGGTCATATAGTGTAGTGTGGTTAATTTGCATTAAAATTGTTTTGCAGAAAGTAAGAAATGCTGAACCAGATTGTTTATTTTGTGTTATATGTAATTACAATTCTGTTATCAATTTTTTTTAGCAGTGCATTCATTCCAGACTATGCAAGAAACATTTACCACAATAAGAGATAAAAAAAGATGTACCTTTCTCATTTACAAATATTTTCCAGTCTTGAAATACTGTGCACCATCCTGGTTATTGAACCATAAGAAGGAAATACTAGCTGAGAAATATACAGAAAAGAGCAGCCACAGTCAAGGGAATATACATTTCATGTTAAACATTTTTTTAAAAAAAGACTTTGTTACGAATGCAGAATTCTGAGAAACCTAGTATTAAAAAAATCGGGAGTATTAGTATTAATAAATTAGTATTTATAAACTAGTATTAGTATTAATAGTAATACTATAAACTAGTATTAGTATTAATAAACTGGTATTAATAAATTAAAATATAGGCTGTACTTCAGTGGAGTGATATTAGATAGGATCTGGCCAGAAGACTTAGAAACATTGGAGTCCTGCCATTGATCTGCACCCCTTTTTGTGAAGTCCTAAAGATAAGAACATTCACCAAGGAGGCAGGCAAGGTAAAGAAACATTGTATGCCTAGCCGGGACTTCGGTCACAAACTGCCCTGGGACTTCGGTCACAAACTGCCCTTTTCAAGTGAAAAGAGACCCTATGACGAACTCTTTTTGTCAAAATTAGGTTAGGTTCAATGGCTGAAAGTCTTAGACAGAAAGCATATTGTAAAGAGTAATCTGGGCCGCTGTAGATGTTAGTGCTGGATGAGGGCATGAGTGCCTACAGTAACACTGCATGGGTTAGATCTGAATTTGCTCTTTGGGTTGACATCCTTGTTTGAATATCAAGGACAACTGATGTCATTATAGAACGTCCTATAGGAGGCTAATTTATAAACACCACTGAATCATCCTCCAAAGCATATGGATTTCTTTGTCTTTTCTCTGTGACTTTTTTCTTCCTGATATAGTAAATGTATTCTAGATATTCTGAATGGGTATCAGTGGCAGTTTGGAAAAGAAGGTTAGAATAACATTGACAAAACTATGAGGATTTCTGCAAGAATGCAGGAAGAATTGAAGTCAGTGAGAAAGGGTCACTGATTAGTATCTATTTCCCAGTAGAAAGAGGAGGTTTCCAAAATACTGCAACATTCGTTTTCTCACATTTTATACATATTATCATCTCGTTTTGGATTATACATGTCTCTTATCTCATTAGAATGCATGAGGACAGGGACTTTCTTATATCTTTCTTTCCCCATGACTTAGCAGGTTGGGAACCTACCGTATACACCTAAAAGTTTTTTTTTAAAGTGAATAAATAAGTTATTCAGTTAGCTATTGAATATAAAAAAGAGGCATTACAGATACATCATTGAGAAGTACATAGCCTTGTATGGTCAGTATGGCACTACTAAGCCATATGGGGGCAAGACATGGTCAAGGTAGAATTTGTCTAAGCCTTTAAGGATGTTTAAAATCTGGATAGGATCTTGCAGGAAAAAACAGCCTGAGAGAAGTGGAGGTGAATTCTGACATAGATTCCTTAAGACCTAAGGAGAAGCCAGGTTCCTTTTGCCCAAGGCCAGGAGACATATTTAGTGGGTGGACTTGGCTTGCTCAATGCCTTTTCTTTGCTTTACAGAGAGATAAATCAGTATCGCGTTGTCTGGCATCTGGCAACAGTCACTTGCACTTGCATGGCTTCAGCTGCTGAGCTTTTCGTCTCCTTCCGCCGTTCCCCGTTTCTTAACACCTCACCGCCCCCTGGTTTTCTCTTAGCACGGTTTGGAGTCTCTACCGCTTAACATCAGAGTTGCTTTTGCTCTGTGGATATAAATGTAGCTGTAGTAGGAATGGGGAACCTAAACTCTGCCTCATGCTTATTGCTTTTTTCTTTCCTAGTTTTTGCTGAGTCTTTTCCACCGGTTTATAGGGAAATGGATCCAGGTCAGGTTAGTCTTCATTCTTTCTAACGCGTTTTCTAGGGCTCATCTGCACAGTGAAGGGTTAGGGATCTAATGCAGTTTCCGCAGTGAAAGGAGATAGGAGGTTCGGTCCCACCTTCTTCTGGAGGGCTTGGGGCGCGAGGCGGAAAAGGCTGGCAGCCCGGTGCGCATGCTCTGAGACCCGCGACTGTTGCTCCGATTCTCTCACCCAGGGTTGGGGCCTGCCTCCTTCCAGGCTTCCGGGGCGGAGAGAAAGGGGCGGAGCCAGGACCGGACGTGTGGGGGCGGTGGCCTACTACCTAATCCCACTTCTTGGAGGAGTGTCTGTGATCTTTGCTGGGAAATAGATACTGGCGTGCGGAGTCTCCTCTCTGGCCGCTCTTCTTTCCACTTTCCCATGGGGCTAGAAATCGATTTGAGGGAAATTTGACACCCATGAGCGGGTGGGGAGAGAACCCCGACGGTGGTTCCTCTAATGACAGGCGTTCTGCCGCGGCCTCTTCTGACGGGTGTCGGCCTGCTTTTGCTCCTCGACCGCTCTAGCCACCTGGTCCTTATTCCTATTCAGTCCCGCACCCACCAGCGCCCTCCGACGCTATGTATGATCGAGCTCCCCGCTTGCTCATGTTGGCCGAAGGTGGCAGCACTGAGGCCCATGTGGGTCCTGGGTCCTACCAGGTCCCTTTCCCGAAGCAGCAGGCGACAGGTAAGACGTAGGGAACGGCAGGCCTGGGATACGCATCTCTTCTCTAGTCTGTTCCGCTGCTGTGCACCTGTGAACTACACAAAGTGAAATGGTCCCTTTGTATATTATAAGTAGAGCAAAACGTGAAGCAGGCAGGGAAAACACGGTCCTTCTGGTGCAGGCGAGAGCTGGTAATGCCCTGGGTCACCTTTCACAAGGCTGGTGTCGGGTGGCTAGGACTTTTGATTCTACAGTGGTTGCCTTTATATATATAAATAATATATAATAATTATATTATTTTAGCCATCTATTTATTATTTTAATCATTTAATAATTTATTTTAATTATTTAATAATTTTAATTATTATAAATTCTGTTATAATTTATATATTTTATATAATGTATATATTTTTTGATTTTTTGTGGAACTGAGGTTTTACTATGTTGCCCAGGCTGTTCTCGAACTTCTGGGCTCAAGCAGTCCTCCTGCTTCGGCCTCCCAAAGTGCTGTGATTACAGATTACAGGCCTGAGCCACTGGTTGTACAGTTTAGATCTAGGATTTTCATTTCTTGTCTATGTTGACCGTTTGAGTCTCCAAATCCTGTATCTTACCTCCTGCTGTCTCATGTCTTTGTAATCTTGTCTTCTTCACACACATACCTCCCATTAGCCAAAGAGACATTTATTTAACTAAGATATAACTTTAAGAAAGTTTCCAGTTAGAAATTCAATGTGGAATACTAATATATACAACTTTTTTTTTTTTTGAGTTGGAGTCTCACTCCGTTGCCCAGGCTGGAGTGCAGTGGTACGTACGCTCATGGCCACCCCAGCGTTGTCATGCTGGGCTCCAGCAGTCCTTCTGCCCCAGCCTTCCAAGTAGCTGGAACTGTAGGCGCGTGCTACCACGCCTGGCTAATTTTTGATTTATTGTAGAGATGAGGTCTCACCAAGTTGCCCGGGTTGGTCTCGATCTGGTGGGCTCAGGCAATCCACTTGCCTCTGCCTCACAAAATGCTAGGATTACAGACTGAGTCACTGAGCCTGGCCACATATATAACTTTTATACTGCTATTTTGCAATGTCATTTAAAGATAGTCCTGTTTTTTCAGACTGTAGCTTCTGACTTTTCCCATCTTCTCCTTGAACATATTTTGTGAGAGCCCCCTTTCCCCACACTGTATGAAGAATAGCTAGCTATATTCTTGAAAAATGGAGTGGAGATGGATAATTTCAATAATTATTTGCTCTTCTCATTTTGTAGTTAGTGACTCAGGCAAAACTTTTAACTTCAAAGTTGCTTTCTATTTTTTCTATTCTAATGATTTTCTGGATCTAAATACCATCTAAATGATAGTTTTTCTTAACCTACATTTTCCCTATACTGTACCTATACTATGTATTTTTAAACAGATACCAGTATCTATTATTCTATTGACAGATCAGATAATCAATCAGATTAGGGTTGGTTTAGGTTTCTTGGGGTAGAGTACCAATTTGTCATCTGTCAGTGTTTCACATTTTGAATTTTACTGTTTACAGCATCTGATATCAATATTCTTGCAGCTCATGATATGTCTTTATTTTAAAGCAGTTGAACTGTTAGAAGCATTAACACCCCCCACAGATTACTGGCTAACAACAGCCACTCAAAGTTTTTACACTTATGATAATGTTCAATCCATATTTTATTTTGACACAATTGACCACTTTCTTGTTAGAAACACTTCTGCCCATGGTACCTGTAACATTATTTTTTTCTGATTCCCAACTATATTGTCCTGGAAGAGCGTCTGATACATGGTTTGGACCTAACAAACATTTGTTAAATGCTGAATTAGGGAATCATTTTCTCCCCCTCTCCAAACATCCTCATAGCCTTCTTCAAAGGTTTTTATTTTTCTAAACACCTTTTAAATGTTTATATACTGTGCTTTCCATCCTTTGCTTGTTGCTTATTCATTTCCATAGCTTCAACTACTATCCATATTCTGGTTCTGGTGACTCCTACAACAAAGTTCCTAGAGATATAGGTGATTTACATCTCCAAGGGGAGCTTACTCCTGATCTTGAAGCCTTCAGCATTGCCGATTACTTTTTTGGACATCTGCACCTGGCTGGTCACTAGCATCTGAAGTCCTAGGTGTTTGAACTCATAATTTTTCCCATCAATACTGGTCCTTTAAAAAAAAATTCCCTGTCAGTCTATCATAAACTTTAAAACTTTGGAGTTATTCTAGACTCTTTAGTTTCTTCCTGATACTCTTGTTGATCATTAAGATTTTATAATTCTATCTTCTTAGTGTCTCTCTATTTGGTCCTCTTCATTTAACTGACCTTAAGTTACTTCAAGCCCTCATTATTTCTGTTCTGAATTAAATTACTAAAATATTACTTGTTTCCCTTATTTCAGTCTTCAGTCCATCTCCTATCTTGTGGCTAGAGAGGTCTTTATACAGAAATGTTATTTATGAAAAAAAATTCTTTGTAACATCAAAGTTAAAATGATCTTAATCTACTTCTTAACATGGTGCATAAAGTTCTTCATGTTCTGATCTCTGACCTGGTCTCCCACTTGTCCTGATCTTTCCAGGCGCTCACACCTCCAACTTAACATTTAAACATTACAGAAATTTCAGCTGTACAGTTTTCCTAAGTTCACGCTTATTCACCTCTATGCCTCTGTACCAGCTGATACCTTTGTTCAGTATGTCTGTCTTCCTTCTTTACCTGGCTAATTCCTATTTATTTATTTGAGACTCAGCTAAGTAAAGTTGTTCTCTGATTCTACTCTTTCTCAAGTTTTTCTTCTTGACTCCTTAGTGACTCTTTTATAACACGTTGATTCTTTATTATAATTAATGTCAATTTATCTGGTAGCCTCCATTATTTTCAGTTTTTAGCTCAGTACCATAACACATAAGTGTTTTAATTTTTAAAAAAAAGTAATCTGGAAATAAAGCTAAACCTTAGTGAGCTATGTATAGCAGAATTTAAAACTCATAACTTTTGTTAGCTCTACTTAGAGGGCAGTAAGTTTGGTAAGGCTGTTTTACTGTTTTATAGGATTGTGTCTTGTTGACCTATGAGAGAAACTAGAAAATTCTGTGCTTGGGAAATGTGAGCAACTGCATCCTATAGATCCGTATTGTAGCATTACTCAAGGATAACATGCTGATAATCAGTAGAAGGAACTATCAATAGAAGGGACAGGAATCTCTTCAGTGATTTCTCTGCTGGATTCCCTGGCGAGATCATTTAAAAGTAGCTGCCATCTCTTTCCTAGGTACCTTCTGCCTCTCCTGTCATAAAGACCAATAACATGTTGAACTATACAGAAGTATACACAGTTATTTCAGTTAAGGGTCAGGTACATTTTACAGAGTATCGTGTGGAAGAACAGATGTTGGGACTTAATATTTAACTTACTTGTTACCTTGAACTTCATAAGAGATGACCTTAGATGCACATACTCTTCATTCTCAGCCTCTTTCTCCTAACCACTACTCTCTTCTTACTGTAGCTTGCTTGGTCAGATCTCCAGTGTACTGTCTCTATATTTGCCTAAGGAATTTTTTTTCACCTTAATTTGAAACTCCCTTTCCTTGGCTTTAGGCCATTTTATCAAGAAGAATCTCTCCTATCTGGGATCTGCAACATGAAAGGGACAGGACTGAGCTGTTCTTTCAGCTTTCATGAGGTGGGAGAATTAATGGATACTCATATACCAGGTTAGTGAGAGCTGTGCCTGATTCTGTCACAGCTGTCTGTGAGGCAAACATCTCTCATCAAAGTAAATTTTCTCCAGAGACTACCAGCCTAGTATAATATGATAAAAACATATTCCCTTTAATGATGTGACTGCTTTGGCATTATTATGCTAAGGAGCATTTCATTGCGTTTTGAGCTTATTTGCATAATAAATGGCACCCTAGACTAGCTCTACATGAGTTATCTATATTGGTTCTCTGTTAATTATCCAAGCTGGGTGACAATCATCTCCTCAATATATTCTTTCCCAGATTCTTCCCTTCTTTGATGGGTTAGTGGTTAGTTTTATCTGTCATAGAAACACTATCTGTCCATGATCTTGTACACATGTGCACATGCTTATGCTACAATGATGGTTTTATCTAATTAGCCAATAAACTATAAGGAGACTGCATCAGGGAATGCAATCTATCTTTATTTGAGGTTAAGTGAATAATATTTATGCGATTTCTGTGTATGTTGATATTTCTAAAGATGGGTACATGTTTCAAAGACCTAGTCATTGCTTAAATGTGAATACCTTTTTCTTTGTTCTGTGGCTCTGGCTACTGAATTTGTCTTTTAATCACTTACTGTCCACCTTCTTTCTCAGAATGGACTGATTTTTATTGCTTCATGCCAATTGAACTCATTTCTTTTTGTTGGTTACCCTAAATATAAACATTAAGCATACAGATATGAATAAAACAGATAAGTCCTTTCTCTTTTGGAGTTTATCATTATAAACATTTTAATTTTTTGGTGGTTTTACTTTGCCCAAAATTTCATCTTATTGACAAAAGATTCTATATAATTAATTTTGGAAAATTTCAGTGAAGTTATTTTATGAATGCCGACCGTCTTGATTCTCTTTGTTGCCCAATTCATTCATATATATGAATATATTTATATAAATGAATATATATTCCACCATCACTAATATGTTGAATACTTGGAGTATTGTATGTTTGTGTATTCATTTTGATATTCATTTTAGTACTCTACAACTGACTTTGCATTTGTTTAGGTATATTCATTTAGGGGTTCTGCTTTGTTCTGATGACAATTACCTCAGAAATAGCCAGAGTTTAGCTTTCTTAGTTTTCATATCTACTTATCTCACATTACTTTAGTGTCAGTATGGATCTAAACTTTAAAAAACCCTTTAATTGTGAGATATAATACTTATGTAGAAAATCACATAAAATATAAATGTAGACCTTAAAAAGTGAATACTCAGTTTTACTCAAGAGATGGAACTTTGCCAAAATTTCCTTTTCAAGCATAACCTTTTACCCTCTCCTTTGTAGGTAAACACTATCCTGATTTTTATGGTATTTCCTTCCTGTTCCTCATGGTTTGTTAAATTTTCTTGATGAAATGATCTTCTTATTGTTATGAAATGTCTCTCTCATCCCTGTTATTCTTGTTCTAAAATCTGCTTTGTCTGACTTTAATATAGTCAATCTAGTTTTCTTTGATTAATGGATACATGGTATATCTTTTTCCATTCTTTTATTATTATTATTATTTATTTATTTTTTGAGTTAGAGTCTCACTCTGTCACCCAGACTGGAGTGCAGTGGCCGCTCCCGGCCACTGCAGCCTCGACCTGCTGGGCTCCAGTGATCCTTCCGCTTCAGTCTTCCAAGTAGCTGGAACTACAGGTGCGCGCTACCACACCCAGCTAATTTTTTGATTTATTGTAGAGATGAGGTCTCACTGCCCAGGCGGGTCTCGAACCCGTGGGCTCAGGCAATCCACTCACCTCACCCTCCCAAAGGCGTGGGATTACAGGCTGAGCCACCAAGCCTGGCCATTCTTTTATTATTAATCTCTGTGTTTTGATGTTTTAAGAGGGCTTCTCATAGACAGCAGATTGCTTCTTGGGTTTTGGCTAAGATCAAATGTTGTATACATCAGAAAGTTGAATCTTGCTTCTTTTAACCAGTCTGACAATCTCTTCCTTTTATTTGGGATGTTTAGAACTTTTACATATATATATATATTTATTTTAAAGATGTGGGGTACAATTTCAGATTAGGTATACAAGTGGACACCGTACAAGTAAAGTTCTGGCCTCTCTTTGGTCCCCACTTTGCCTGGTTTGAGATCAGGTGCCCTTATTGATTTATCCCACAGTATCCCAGTACTGCCAATCCCTTTCTTATAGTATTATGGTAAATATACAGGGTCCACTTATGAGTGACAACATGTGGTACTTAGTTCTTTGTTTCTGTGATAGATCACTGAGTATTATAGACTCTAAATCCATCCAAGTTGCTGCAAAGTCAGAACTTTTACATTCAATTTCACTGTCAGCATTGTGTGTTTAAGTTTACCCTCTTGCCATTTGCTTTCTATTTGTCTCATCTATTCTTTGTTTCTCTTTTTCTACCTTTGTTGAAGCACTTAAAAATAAATACAATTTTAAAAATGATTTAAAAAATATCCACTATTTGTATATTTGCTACACTTCTTTGTTTTATTTTTAAGTGACTGCTGAGGGTTTACAATATGTATTTCTAATTTATTACAGTCTACTTTGAAATAATATTGCACCACTTCACACACAGTTTATGAACCTCAAAAAGGATGCTTCCATTTTCCTCATCTCATTCTTTGTACTACTAATGTGGTAGTACATTTTACTTCTATGTCTGCTATAATTCCACAATAAATTAAGATTGCTTTTGTTTTAAGCAGTCAGAGATAGTTCTTGACCCATGATGGTCCAGCTTACGATTTTTTGACTTTATGATGGTAAATAAGTGATAAGCATTTAGTAGAAACAACTTGTAGTACTCACATAACCAATCTGTTTTCACTTTTAGTACAGTATTAAATCAATTGCATGAATTAGCACAGTATTAAATCAATTGCATGAAATATTAAACACTTTATCATAAAATATTATTTGTTAGATAATTTTGTCCAACTTGAGGCTAAAGTAAGTGTTTTGAGCAGGTTTAAAGTAGACTAGGCTAAGCTATGATGGGTTAAGTGTATTAAATGCAGCTTCAATTTACAACATTTTCAGTGTATGATGGATTTATTGGGAAGTAGCCACATCATTAATCAAGGAACATCTGTATTTCTAAAAAGTATTAGGAATTGAGAAAAAGCATCTCATGCTAACCCTCATAAAATTTGTTAGTGTATTTTTAATTTCAGAAGTTTGATTGGGATCTTTTTTATATCTTCTCTTTTTCTGCTCATCATGTTGATTTTCCTCTACTTTGTTGAATAGATGGATGATATTTATAATAGATACCTCAATGTCCTTGTCTGCTAATTCCATCTGCTGATTTCTGAATTTATTTTTCATTGACTTTTCTCCTGTTTATGGGTCTTATTTTCCTGCCTCATGCAAGAGCACTATCAGGTAATTTGTATGATTCACTTTATATAATCTGTAGCTTGGTTTGTGTGTGTTCATGTATTTATATGTGTACTGAAATAAATTGGTATCTGTTCTTTGACTACTTACCCTGATTGGTAATGTTTTATTGGTGTTCTGGTTTTCTCAGTTCTACCAGACAACTGTTGTCTTTTAAAATTGAACTTTTAAGAATTTGTGTTCTTGTGGTTTTTGTTACTTATCCAAAAGTCAGTCAGTGTCTGTCACCTGCCTCCCTCCCTCTCTCTTTCCCTCGCTCTCTTCTCCTCTCCTTCCCTCTTTTCCTTCCCTTTACTTTCTGCTTTGGAACAGCCACCTAAACCATCAGTCACTAAATTAATTAATTACCTGGAGTTTTAACATCATCCATGAAGCTTTTCCTAATCACTTCAATGTTGAAGAAAATTTAACGTTCTGAGTTTCTGAGTAATTGTCTTCTATTATGTCATTTAAGATGCTTTTCCTTCTTTAAATTATCTTAATACTTTTCTTAATGCTTCAAGAGTTTTTTAAAGGGTAACTTCTATATTTTGCTCACTTCTTTTATGCTTCAATATCAACATAAATAAATTTTTGATTTCGGTTGTATTTTAATACATGTGAGCCTCAACCCCCCCCATGTATTTCTGGCTTTATATAGAGTATCTTTTATTATTAGTCCAGATTAACAAGATTTTACTGTACTAATTATTACCATAAGTTCTTACAGTAGCACACATTTTCCTTTAGTATACAATGTTTAGTGTACAAGTTTTGAATCTTCACTTTTATTCATTTATTACCTGTAGAATCTAACTGCTTTGTTCTTGTCCATCTCTTCCTTAGTACCCATGTTGCTCAAACTCTACAAATTTTTTCAGTATAGTTCTTGAAATTTTAAAAAATTAGTTTTTTGGTAGACTTTCCAAGATTGTATAATCCTTTGATTACTTGTTCCAGTGAAATGTATATAATGAATTTGTAAACCTTTGTTTATGTCAGGCAATCAAGAAATATTTAGAGTACCACCTATGTGCCAGGGGAAGGATAAATTATCAATTTCCTGCTATAAACTCATTTACATTCTTCCCATCTAGACTTTCTTTACCAGTTTATGAATACTATTTTCTACAAATAATATATACTATTTAAAAGTATAAAACAGTGGTCTTCTGAGGATATAGATGTTTTATCAACTAAATGGCCATTTTTATTTCAACTAGATGTGATTAGAAGACAAAGAGCTTTTATTTATTTGTTTTCCATTGTTCAGTAAGTCCAGTTTTGTAGGTTCTTATATTTAATATATATTAACAAAGAACAGATTTTAACAAAATGTAATAATTTCTGTGTCTAGCTATTAGTTCTGAAGATGTAGTCTCAACAATTGAGGATACTACAGGGTTATTTTGAATGGTTTTTCAGTGAAATTCTTAGACTCTTTCTTATCTTCTGGTGATTTTATTTTATTCTTATAGGTAGTTATGCACCATTTCTTTCTTTGACTGCCAGAGATAGTATTTTTACTGGCGCTTCTAGCATTGAAAAAGTTGTTCCAGGTCCAGGACACTATAATGTTTCTGAAGCACAGGTAAATATAAGAAGTTATTATAATTGTTTTAGTTAATAAGATCATGTTTTCTTCCTCTAGTAAACCAAAATGTCATTTCCCCCTCAGTTTTTTCTTCTTTTGCTTTGTAATCTATATTTTATAATTTGAATAATAGAAAATAAATGTATTTGATATTGGTTACATAAATAGATGTTTTTCATTATTTTGTATATTCTATGTATATACATTATTCTGTATATTCTATGTATATACAGCATTGTTATATGCTACATGGTTCTTGAGAATGGGAGAATAGGATTCTTGAATGAATTATGGCCCATGAAAGTTGCGCAAATGATCAAATACATAGAAAAGGGATGGTAACAAGGTAAATGAATTGATTTTTGTGCCATGCGCTAAAGCTGCAGCTATTGCCATTGTCTCATCTGTCTCTTGTTTCGACAGTCTTAAGAGTCTGTGACCAAAGTATCTTCAATGGTTTATTCATAGTTAGAAATAGTGGCTATAACTCCAATATCATCATAGTCGTGAATATCATCTTTTACCTTTTTCACATAAATTTTGCCTTTATACATACCGGCTCCTAGTTGATTTCAGAAGACCTTGAACTCTCTTGTTGGATGCCCAGATAAGTCCTTGTTGAAGTGTTCAATATAAATTCAAGTTGCAGTTATAATTTATATGATTGTAGATCCTCCAATAATGGCTTTCAAATAATCAGAATTTGAAAAGTTCTTATCTTTTTATATGATCCACTTTTTGTTCAACTTGTAAAATTAATATTTTTGCAAAATAAATCATTAAAGTATTATTTTTATATACCAAAGTTCTTTAAACAGCAATTCTCATCTTTTTAAGGCAGTAATCAAGTAGTGAATTGGCCATTTAACAATAAAATTTGACTCAGTTTTTAAAATAAGGCATCCTTTGTGTATTTCTTAAAAACGGAATATGATGAAAACTAGAGATAGATTCTGTTAATAGTGATTACTAACAACTGACATGTGGAAAGGTCTGTAGGTCAATCAATGACTTAAAAAAATCTTGGCTGATCAATCAAATGCCAATCACTATTACTGTGACTCATCTTTGAAATTATTGTACTATAACTGTTTCTGGATAGCTTTATGATGGAATTTTTTTTTTTTTTAAGTTGGAGTCTCACTCAGTCACCCAGACTGGAGTGCAGTGGCCGCTCCTGGCCACTGCAGCCTCACCTGCTGGGCTCCAGCGATCCTTCCACCTCAGCCTTCCGAGTAGCTGGAATTACAGGCACGCGCTACCACGCCCGGCTGATTTTTTGATTTATTGTAGAGATGAGGTCTTGCTGCCCAGGCGGGTCTCGAACCCGCGGGCTCAGGCAATCCACTCACCTCAGTCTCCCAAAGGGGTGGGATTACAGGCTGAGCCACCGAGCCCGGCTTATGATGGAATTTTATCTAAATTATTAGTCAGTTGGTAATGTTCTGATTTTAAAGAATCCAGATGTGTGTCATGAAGAGGCATGGAAGATCCTCCCGGGGTTTGTTCTGTAATAAACAATGTTTAAAATTAATCTTAACATAAATTTAAACTGTTGCCAATAATCTATATAAACTTCCCTGAAAATAACCTTAGTGTTATTCATGAAAATAATTAACCCTGCAATTTGAATGTGTGTGTGTGTGTGTGTATGTATATTTTTAAGTGAACTTAAAAAATATATATTTTATATATACATAAAAAATCTCTCTCTCTCTCTCTCTCTCTCTCTCTCTCTCTCTCTCTCTCTCTCTCTCTCTCTCTCTCTCTATATATATATATATATATATATATATATTATACGTTCACTTTGGGGATAAAATTTTTCCAGGGGCTTTTATTCCTGCTCCACAACTTTGGGAATGCCTTTTCTGATTCCTGTTTTAAACAGAATGTTTTCTTGCATTCTCTCAGAGTGCTCTAAGTACAGTAAATTTTAGTGTGAATTTGAAGTTAAAACTGACATTTGTCATTCTCCCTTATTATCCTCTTTTACTAGAAATATGTCTTCAGTCAAGATTCTTAACTTTCTCAGGTTGAGTTTTAGAACTTTGTTAAAAATAATTGATATTTATCAAATGGGAATTAATTATAAAGCGCTTATTTTTACCATATCATAATTTTTTTCTCTCTGATTTAGTGCAATATAAAAGGAGGCCATAGTCTACAAAACCGGGAGATACGTTTTAAGAAGTTTATTTCAGATAATCCAGGACCAGCAAGCTATGATCAGTCTTATCCTAGAACGTTAGATATCATGAACAGGAAAGTTCTAGAGGCCCAAAAGCATCTTCAATCAGTATGTTGCTATTTTAAATTATGCTTCTAATGACATTTATTTTAGTTAAAACAGAAAAGTTTAAGTAGATTTGTTGGTACTCATATTATAGTTATTTTGTAATTAAATAAACTTTAGTTTTTAAGTGTATTAGTATTCAACCTACTTTTTGCTCTTGATAAATCTGTGATCACTTTTAATGTCTATAGTGAATAGAAAGTAAGGGAGATTTAAAAAATCAGCTGAGTGGTTTGCCTATACATAGAGGAAACTCTGTATTAAGTACTGTTAGTAATACAATAAAGTTAAAAAACGAAATTCCTAAGCTTTTGCTTAAAATTTAGATGGGAGAGAGACGTAAGGTAGTTATAAATTCAAGACAAAATGCAATAAGTCTAAATGAATGATGATGTAATTAAATACTATAGGAATTTAAAGGAAAACTACTATATTATATGAAGGTATAATTTATAGAGGCTATATGGAGGAGGTTGGTCTTGAGATGGGCCTTGAAGAATAGGACTGAATACACATTCCAAGCATAGAGTTATATGAGTGAAGATGCAGAAGTGGGATTTTATGGAATGCAATGAGATTATTTTAACTTGAGTGAGGAATTTATATAGCAGACTAGTAAGTTATATTTTTTGAATGGTATGTTCATGCTACATGATTAATCATTTGTACATCAAAGACTTACCCCTTTGAAGTAAATATTATCTAGTGGATTTTGGTCATTGTTTGTTTAGAGTAGGCTCCTTCTTCTCCTTTCATAACTTCTTCACATAGCTCATATTAATTACATTTTAATCAGTTCTTTGTTTAGGAGGATATATTTTGGGATTGAGTACTCAGTTGAATAATATCAGTGCATGACAATGGGGTTAAGTTGTATAAGTATATTTAAATATCAGATATTTCATGTGTAGGGACAAAGTAAATATTCATTTACTCATGCAAGAATTTATTGAACATTTGTTGAATGACTGTGTGTCATGCACAATACTAGATGCAGGTAATACATAGGACAAATCACTGGTTCCTGAGATCTATAATTTGAACAAGGAAGAAATGAATGAAATTCAGCACAATATAGTTAAGGAAATGATATCTTAGAGTCATAATACAGTGTTCACTATTAGCTCAAAGTAGAGAGTCTTTGGAGGGAATAAGGAAAACAATTGAACTTGATCTTGAAGGATGATTCACTAAGTAATTTTTTTAAAATGGGAAAAAACATCCCAGGCAGAAAGCCACTTGAACAAAGACACTAAAGTGTCTTGGGGAAGAACAAAGTTCTTTGGATATTTGGAGTACAGGATCTAAGGAAAAGTAATAGGAATAGAGACTGGAGAAGGGGGTAAAAAGACTTTTGGAAAGTTTTGGCATCATGTAAATACTTTCTGAAAGTACTGAATGGGGGGAGGGCATTTGATGCTTTCCTGTTTTAATTTGGTAATTAATCTTATAAGTAACACTGCAATGGCTCAATAGTTGTTTTTAAGTGATAAAAAGATAAAATTCTATGTATTATGTTTGTAACTTAATTGTATATGGGTATGTATGTGTGCATGCATCTATAGCATTTATTTATTTACATAGAAACTTTAGGGATCAATACATTCATAATAAGTTAAATTCCAGATAGCTAAACTAAATCATTTAAATACCAATCATTTTATTTGACATATATACTGTGTGTGTGTGTGTGTATACATATATATATGTATATATATTTTTTCTTATTTTATTTTAGAATGTAAGGTACATGTAAGGATTTACTATGTAAGTAAATTGCTTGAGGTGAGGTTTGGGCTTCTAGTGGATCCTCTTTCCCCCAGTAGCGGTCATGGTACCCAGAGGATAGTTGTATGCCCCTTACTCCCTCTCCCTCTTTCCATCCCTGCCTCCTTTAGCAGTGCCAGGTGTGTGTTGTTCCTACCTTTATGCTTGCATTACCAATGTTTAGGGCCCTCTTATGACTGAGAACATGCGGTATTCACCTTTTTGTTTCTGTGATAGTTCACTAGAAAGATGATCTCTGGCTGCATCCATGTGGTTGCAAGAACATGATTAGTTCTTCTTTATGATTGCATAGTATTCCATTATACTATGCAACCATACACACACACACACACCACATTTTGTATGCAGTGTACTTTTTTTTATAATCAATATTTTTTATTAGCACACTGCTTTCCACAGAGGTTGCACTAGTTTACACTCCCACCAACAGTGTAGAAGAGTTCTATTTTTGACACACCCTCTCCAGCAACTGTTATTTTTTGAGTTATTGATAATTGCCATTCTGACTGGGGTTAGGTGGTATCTCACTGTGATTTTGATTTTCATCTTCCTGATGATTAGTGAGGTTGAACATTTCTTCATGTGTCTGTTGGCTGCTTGGGGGTCTTCCTTTGAGAAGTGTCTGTTCATATCTTTTGCCCATTTTATAATGGGGTGGTTTGTTTTTTTCTTTTCAGCACATTTGAGTTCCTTGTAGATCCAAGATGTTAAGCCTTTGTCAAACCTGGAGTTGGCAAATACTTTTTCTCAGTCCGTAGGCTGTCTCCCTGCTCTCTTGATGGTTTCTTTGGCTTTGCAAAAGCTTGTCAGTTTAATGAGGTCCTACTTGTCTATCTTCTCTCTTATGGCCTGTGGGTTTTGGGTTTTGTTCAGGAATTGGATGCCAGTTCCAATTTCCATGAGGGTATGTCCT